GGCGTCAGCCTATCAGTTTTTACTGAACAAACGGCAGCGACTTACATGCAGACAGCTCAATCTGCACCTGGAATTGGCATCGGCGAGGGGGCGTACAGTTTTATACTTTGTTTCACCTAACCATGAACGGAAAAAGACGCTAAGGGCCATCGGAACCAATTCATTGCTTGGATGGTGTTGCGTGTTCCTCCGGTTTAGTAGAGAGGCGCCCGGAGATCGAAGTCACGAGACAAGCTATGAAATATAAATTGGTTTGTTTATGTCGTGTGTCCATCGCGGTGAAACGGAATAATCTGACTATGCCAAAAAACTAAATAGCTATTCTTTGTGTGTATTCTATTTTCTTGCTGCTAAGCAATATTCCTCAAGGAAAGAGAAAGCGAACATAAACATAAACATCAAAATAAAAACTTAATGTTGACGGCTGGCGGCGCATTTGTCACGCTGTGGCGAAATCTGGAGGCGCCAAGATACGAAGCTGTGATGAGCGGGACACTGCGGCGCCGGTCGCCAGTCGCCTCATGCCCTAGTCGCTGCCTAGAGAAATATTTTTGTGTATGCGTTTTCTAGAAATAGCAAGTTGCCAGTTGTATTTCTTGTCTTTTTTTGTTTTGCCTTAATCGTCTTTTGAATGACTTTCGCTGTCTTTCACTTTTTCACCCTGTTCAGCTCAGCCGTTCAAGCAAGCCGTTTGGGCGTGCTGCGTGGGTAGCTTGCCGTTTCGATCTGGATGAGCATCGTACCGGCGTGTGGTCGTGTATCAGTACCGCGTGAGCCCTTAAAGACCCCAGGCTTCAGCCGTGCGGCACTGGCTAAATTTTGGTCTACAGTGGCTGGTAGACTAAACTTCTGTTGTCTAAACAACTAACGGCTATTTTATCTTAGTGGTTAGTTTGCAAGTAAGGTGCCTACTATTGTTACGGTGTCACTGTGCGTGCTGGTTATTTGACTACATATGTGAGTACTGTACTTTCGTAGTTGCCAAGCACCTGCATAACCTCGTAATTTTTATAAAACGGCGTTTGCGTTCCCGCAGCGTTCTGATTACCTACTTTTTAATGCAGATGACATCATGTTGAACTTACATTTTCTTGTTAACGACTGAGAGCTGTGGTTTATCTTTTAACAATGGGTATGAACTGTATCGGACATAGTGGAAACGGTAACCGAACCGTTATTTCAAAATCATTACGAAACCAGAACCGAACCAGCACTAAATGCAAACATACTGAACCAGAAGGCGAATCGATCCGGTATAATGACCTGTTAAACTCCCTGTTTTTACCCCAGCCGATGTTCTAGAGTTTGCATGGAACACAAATAAAAAATTGGAATAAATATGTTAAGAAATCGCAACAAACGCGCAGCCAATGTAAATGTTTGTATTCCAAGGCAGGTTCCATAACACGGTGCAACAGTCGCTTGGCTGCAGCGCCGTGTACCGATTGCACTTTGTCAGCGGTTTTTTGTTCTTGCCGCAGTGCGTGGAGATTTGTGGCAGGTATTTATGGTGCCTAACAGCGCACTAGCGGTGCTATCGTACAAGTACTTGAAGCAGATAGCAAGATAGCTTCTTGCACCACGCACGAACTAGCCATGTTGAAGGCCTTATCAAACACACAACACGCTAATCATTTATCCACTAAGAGTATACGGTCCGCTTCCGAAGAAAATCGGTGGTTTTAAATTCGAACGTCTGTTACGACTCGCAAGATTTTTACGCTTGATCGTGCGATTGACGTCTGCAGTGACACCACGTACCACGAAGCGGTTCGACCGACCACCCTTCGGCTTAGTCGAATTAGTGCTCTGAGGAAGCTTTTGCATACTTTTGCGATCGTCACCACATTGAAAGACATATCGATTATGCTACTTTTTTCCAGTTCCTCAGAGTAGTCGTCAATGGCCCCTTTTTCACGTTTTGTAACTGTAGGAATGGAAGGGTGGAGTTCTGACACTCCAGAAGTGGTAATGGGCCCAGTGTCTCCATTCCACGGAGTTGAAAGGAATAGAATTGTCGGAAACTCAAATTTGCCGGAATGTAATCGGAATGGAATGGGGGTGTCCATTCCATGACAATGCAAAATGCAACACACCAAAAGCACTTTACAAACATATCTCTTTAATTTTAAACACACACCAGCTCTTACAGAGGTGAGGTATAAAATCACTCATACGCAGCCTTCGGCCAAGGGACCAACATGCAACGGGTTTCCTTAGATGAAAAAATTTATTTCATAATACAACGTATACTCATTATATGACAAACATGAATAAAACAACGTTATTTCAAAAAGACATGTTTTTATACAATATAAAACGTGATCCGTCTTAAGCAGTCATTATACAAAGCAAATGGCAACGGGATGTTGTTTTTCGTCATTGAAAGATAGTTGGTGCAATGCAGGATCACTGAACGTTTAATACTACTGAAGAAGGAATCTAAATACAGTGTCTTCATGGATATTGCCAAGATGTGATCAGAGTTTACAAAAATAGTCCAGCAGATGCACTTTAGATATGTATTCTGGAGAGTGTTGGCAAAACTGGAGTCTCTATGGCTGCGCATTTTTATTTGACTTTCAGGACCCTAGTGGAAAATATGTCAAGTTGTACCAGTTTATTTACATCAACTTGTGTTGAACAATTGGGATTAAATTTAGTAGCCACGTGTTAAGACTAGGATCGCGAAAGTTTCATAACTAAGCGCAGCCGATGGCACAATTTGGCTTAGGAGGTCACGTCGTTAAACGAAGAAAAGATACCAGTGCTAATATGTTTTTCTTTTCAGATTTTTATAGTCAAAATATAATGTGAGTAAACGTAAGAAAAGAACAGATTTTGATGTAAATTCATACGCCGAAATACTCCAATAATTAAAGAAACGAGAAAGTGCCCGTTTGAGTAATGTCCGGGGTCATTTTAATGATGGTTTACTCAAGTTCATATAACATCTGCTTGTTATATCTTAAAACAATTAGCAATAATGCAGACACAAAGATCACAAGGTTGTTAAGTTGCAAGAAAATTATGGTCAGTTATAACATGTCAATCCAGAACACGATGCTGTGTACAATTATATTTAATATTTCCTCTGTTGTAGCAACTCTTCGTTTTTATGGCCTGTTCACACAAGGAATGTTCAACAGAGGATTTTGCCATTCAAAAGAGTCTACAACAACGGGATAATTTGCGAAAAGGAGGAGTTGACAAATAATAACAAAGCATCATACAGCTCCACGCTGCACACAATAAATGATTTTTATAACAGAAAGGACCAGTGTATTTAACTCAATTGGTTGACTGACAGCTTGTGAGCCGTCCACAGGCTCACTGCGGTACTCTGAGAGCTGACCTAAACAGCAAACAAATGTGACGGGAACGATGTGACATCGAGGTACCATGACATCTAGTCCTCCCCGAACTTAACACACTGATTCGTGTGAAGAGGCCATTGCGCATGTAATTTATCTTGTCATGTCAGGGCGCAGTCACGGGCTCTGTGATGACGGGGAATGTTTATAAATTTAACTGCAATGTACAACAGTGAAAACGATTTGCGCTTGTCTAGCCTAAATGTTACCTAATTTCCAACGCTCTTCTGTTTATCTGCATATACATCATGTGAACAATTTATGCATTACTTTAAAAATCGGTAACTTTCACCCAAAGTTAAAAGGCCCTTTCCAAACTCGAGTGGCTACAAAGTTGTTTGAAGGTATCATCACCCCTCTCCACACAATCACTTCTACAAGACGCGATGTTCAAATCTTTTGGGTCCTGCACTGGGCTCCTGTACAATAGTTGAACATTCACGTTCTGAGCGAAGTCAGTCATCTGGTGGACTCCTGGTCACGATACTGTACACGTTGATGAACCACGGACCTTGCTTGTTTCTTCAAATCCTGGCAGTTAAAAAGAAAGGAATAAAAATGACTCTGAAATAAGAAATCCGTCCGCGTTTCATGCATATTCAAGTTTTATTTACGCGAACTGGTAACATCTGTATATGGTTTCTAAGCAGATATGGGCGCCGCGAGCCACGCTTGACAGCCTTCTGACGGATGATGCAGGACTGTCTTTCTGCGAATCTCAATGTTTTAGTGTTGCCTGTGTTTATGACTAACATTGATTGCCTTAGGTCCTTGCTTGGCGATACGAATATTGTCGGTTCCGAATGCGATTGCCAGCAAATTGAACATGGAATAGATTGAGTAAAAGTAGCGATTCAGTCGATGTTTAATGGTTCCCCAATTATCTTGTCGTAATGGTGCAAATTTGATTGTAACCGACGCCAACGGCATATCGAAAAGCAAAGAATACAAAGAAACGCGTGACACTAAATGGCCTGAACACAGGTGAAACCAGGCTGGATGGTGGGGCGGAGGGGGGCGTAAAAAAACGACGGTGATAGGCCGACTCAAGCGAACGTGCTTTATATCGCTGAATGTAAAGAATAAAACTTCATTATATAAAAATGCATAATTGATGTAACTTCCTTAAGGCACAAACAAGCACATCGAGGCGGTCTTGCTAGACCACTTGCAATGCCAGATTGTTTCGCCTTGCATCTCCCAAGCTATTCATTTGTTATAAACAAGGAACAGATAAAGGATTATATTTGCACTGCTTCACAAAAATATATCCCACAAATAATAAGCAGGTTAGAAAATCTACAAAAGGCGCGACCAACAGTGAAGTAACAAAAGAGAAAACAGAATTCCTGTATGCTCCATGCCCATGCATTATTGGCTTAGGAGTGATATACATATATATTGCATTATAATCAAAGGCAAAATGCATAAAATGCACTGTATTGTATTCTACTGTAAGTTGTTATAACTCGTTGAATTACAGCTCTCACTACTTTTTATGTGTCCCTTATTTCATCACATTGATCCCAGGGAATCAGCGGTTAACGTTTACTCTTATTAGTGTGGGTGACATAATATCGTTAAATAGGGCAATTCACATTAATTGCATGACTAAAAATGGGCATGTCAAGAAGTACTGGTAATTTCACCTTCGAGTCGAGAGAGGAGTTGCTCTGCTGCCTCGGCAGATGACACTAGGAGGAGGTCTTTGACTATGCTGACCGGCACACGTTTCTGTTGCTGCGATTCGGCGGACTCGACCAGGCGCCGGAGGTTTTCCTGTGAGTGTGCCAACAATTTTCAAGATTAAACCATAAGCTAACGTCTACTTACTCTCTAGATGCTTCAGTGTTCCTGGCGCAACAAAGAATAGGTGATCGACGGTGTTGCTTCTGCCATAAAGGGATTTAATGCTTTTTCGACTAATAGTGCTCGGAATATGCGCCTCGTATTCATAAAGCATGAAACGTGCCATTAGTTTAGATCACACGCATACGCTTGTGTTAAAGGTAAAATTATTCTGCTCCCAGAATTTTTTTTTTCTTTACAACAATACCTATTCGGCTCCCTAACAAAAGCGTGTTGTTTCTTATCTAGAAAGAGACTGCACCTCGGAGCAGAATTTACTAAGCGGAGCGTGCCCGATATAGAACGTAACATTCTCGATCACAAAGAAGGAATATACATATAGGAAAAATGCAAGTGTACATGACGCGGCGACGTTCACATAAAACGATTGCATGGAGGGAAGAGGGTTTTCGGAACAACGCCATCAGTGTCCTTTTTAACACTCCTAAAACAAAGTGTAGTGAAGCTGGAACGTTAGCGGCAAATATAAAACGACATACGTAAGTAGGCAAGTAAAGTAATCGAAACAGCGGAAGAAACGAAGCTTGCTTCATTAATGCTCGGTCGTCAGTTGTCAATATTGGATGGCATTTATGCAATTTATGCAAATACTTGTTTTATATAACACGTGTAAAACATTATGCAAAACTTGAGCCAGAAATTTTCGGATGAGTATCCATTAAGTGAAAATGTCTAAATCATGTGAATGTAGCGCAGTCCTCATGTCGAGATAACTGAGCCACTGCATTCATTGTTTTGTGGGGTTGTTTGGCCTTTATAAGTTGTGGTATCTATTGCCTCATATAAGGATTACTTTAAAGCAAACCGAACGAGTACTAGGTCAATAGGACCATTTTATATTTAATTAAAAATGGCAAAAGGTTTTTCTGTTGATTTATTAATTCTAAAATTCCCTCTAATATCGAAAAAGATGTTGCAAACTAACGTAAGAGGTAACTGGCAGCTGCGGTGCAATTTCGAACGATAACGAAGTATGTGACATCACTGTTGAACATTGTTATGAAAAACGGGTAAGAGGAGTTATATTCGTTTGGAAATTTAAGAATCGAAAGTGCGCAGGCTAGCTGGTTTTGAAACATTATCACTTAAACCTTGAGACACGGAGAAACAAAATAGCAAGCAAGAGGAAATAAAATCGAGTTTTTTGTAACGTCTTGTCCGTTGTTTTATTTTTTTCGTGACTCAGGGTTTAGATTGTGATAGATTCAGATGTCGGAGTTCAATAGAAAGTTTATATTGTGTTTGAAACTGAACGGTTTTAAACATCTTGAGGCGAGAAACTTTCTTCAACAGAGGAGCATAACATTGTCTCATAGTTGTCATTGTTAAACCCTTGGGGTTATTATTATTTTCGTATATTTTGTTAGGAAGGTAGAAATAACCGAATTGGTGCATTTGTGCAAAGTAACAACAGAAAAAAACATTATGTTTGTGCCAGTCTATAAAGCTTTCTATAAGTATAAAAATTAGAAAACTCACTTTTAGAACAGCGTCTCTAAGCATACGGGAGGAACTTCTTCCTAAAAATTGAACCTTATTGTAAAACAGAACATAGTCACTGGTACTTTTTTTTCTTTATCGAAACGCCCTACTTTTCAAATTTTTTGGGGAACCCATAGTTATATCTGCAGACGCAAGGATTTCTGAGCATTAGTTTTGTACAAAGCAAGGAATATGTGCATCAAAATTGGAGTATAATTTGAGTAACTACACTTACCAGTTTTTGGTTTTGGCGGGTTTGTTGCTTCTTCATAAGCAGAAGCTCCACAATGATGCTTTGCTTGTTTGGGTCGACATTCTGAAAGAGCGATTGAAAAGAAGTAAAATATTAATTTCTAACAGGGTTTAATTTATACACTCAATGTCTCAGATACAAAATGTCAAAAACAGACAAGAGCGAGTTAAAACTAGACTAGCATTGAACGACGCAGGAAGCACCTCTTCACTTCAGTAAAGATTGGAATGTGAACTTCTGAAATAAATATACGTCGTTTTTTTGCTGCGTCTTGTATTTTTTATATTATTCCCAAGCCTGACTTATCTCATTAGGACAACGCTTTCACTCAACGAATTTATGAAGATGAGGTAGCAAAAGGAATGAGGGTTTTAATAACCAAATAGTTAAGATTATTACAAAAAAATTGACAACAGTTTTTATTGCCAAAGCAATATGATACATTACCTGCAGTAATTAATAAGCTATGATTTAAATTTGTTTAGAAAACATGAAAAGTTTCGGGGAGTTAAGAGCAACCTAATATTATTCGATGTCGCCGATAAACTTAGCACGGAAACTCATGGTGTGCGCATATAATTTGACGTGAATATTTAATAAGATTTAACGGGGCAACTGAATACTTGTATAAGTGTCCTGACGTCAACTCATGTGACATCAATATTGCCGCTAAACGTAGCCGAAAAACTTAATTTTTGTTATTGTCACATGATGTCAATATTCCCACTAACTTTGGCGCAGAGACTCAATTGGTGTTTATTTCGCGTAATGTCAGGAAACGGAGTTACAATGTTCCCGCTACATTTAGCGGGAAATGCACGGACAGACGAGTGATCGGGGAAAATGTTCGTATTGGGGTTACGTTAAAAAAAAAGAAAAAGAAAACATATCTAGGTGCACGGTCCACGTAGTCGTGATCAGCTCTTTAATACGCAAGCATAAAAATGTACTCAAGAGCAAAATGTCATTATTCAACTAAGGCTTAGTTGTATATAGGTAAATGTGTTTAAGGTTCAAACATATACTGCCTACCCTAATAAAAGATGTCAACATTAAAAGCCATACATTCGGACTATTCTATATCAAGAGCAATACGCTTCATACCGCTGTATTGCTGAATGTTTACTGATGAAATGCTCACTAATTTAGGGTTGCAAATTTTTTTTTGAATATTTGTTATTGTGTGCGTGATCTGAACTTACAGGCAAGCGTCATCTCTAAAACTAAGAACATTAGAATAACTTTAAAAATAGACCTAGTTTACGGTTAACAGCTTGAACTGAAGGTGACAATAAGATTGTATTCGCTTTTCCAGAAAAGTGATAAGAGCATGTTTTGATATACTGACACTGTAGCATAAAAAGACATCCTCACACATTTCAGGTGACCGCTTCGTAAGTAAATCAATACCTCAGAACTCATACAAATAGTAGCCTTTTCCCCGTAATTGCACAGTTCTACTATCAATTCTAAACCAAGTAGAGACGTATCGGATGAAATATTGCCATATCCAGCTTGATAAAAACAGAATCAGGAATGCATGCGTTATTTTACATCTTTTAACATTTTGCCTGGATGCCCAGCAGTAAGTGGCAAAGCAATGCGTGATTTTTTGTTACTTTGTTTTTTAAGTTTAAAACTTTTCGGCCACTTGGACACAAGTGCCGGTTAAATGATTAAGAGGGTACCCTCACCTATTCAAGATGCCCTACCGCGTTTAATCTAAGATCACCACAATCAGGTATATTTATTCTACAGCAAGACCGTGTTGTTTTATTTGATGTGTCACAAAGGGTCGGGCGCAGCCCCATCAGTAAGCAATACAACTAAAAAAAAGGAGGAAAGAAAAAGTGAATCAATGATTGTGATGATGCAACTTAGAGTCGCAAGAAACAAGCAAGCTCTGTCTGCGCATGCGTTGCACATGATGATTCTCTTTTATATAGGAAATGCGCTGTTGTGTTCATATGGTGGGGGAAGGTGAAAACGATCATCTCGCGCTAGGCCTCACGAGCTGGCTCGACCTTTGCAAATCAATATATCGTGTCATCGCATACGTTTTCCTGCGGTATGCGGACGATATCATCGTAGTAATATCGTGAAAGCATTTTGAGATTCAGTAATTAGTTTTCCGGTTTGAATTTGCATTAACACTCCTTAGTTCAAGAAAAATTGCTGCCGGCTCTACAGCCACGTCAGTCATAAGACGTTTTGTAATCCGACTATTGTCTGACCATGCAGACGACAAAATATCAATCGAGTGATTTAAGTAATTTATAGAGCAATCACAATTAGGCCAGCGATAGTGGGAAATCGAGTTGAAATGTTTTGTGAATGGCAACACAACATTCATGACGCAGTTCAGATCAGCAGCCCAAGTAGAACAGTTCTACGAGTCGAACAAATGATTTTGACTGGAAAATTAGGGCCCTACAATTCTCGAAGACGGTTGAGCAAAATTTAAACTTCGCTGACCAGAGTCTGGGTATCATAATTCTCATTTTCCAAACAAGTGCTAAAGTTAGGCCTTGGGTCTGGTAGTTTGACTGCCATCTGGTATCTTTTGTACTAAATTGCAAAACTGGTCTCTGGGTTAGACACACCTTCTAGATTTTCGGCTTTCATGTAGTAACTTTGGGCATAAATGGCCAGACATATAGCTAATTATGGTTCTGGTAGTTGTTCGGCTCATACATGACATTATGCCTCAGAATTGGCACTTTGATAATTATATGACGGGAGCGAGAAAAGCATAAAGTGCTAAATAAATCTACTCTGGCACTAACGTCTCTGGTAAGAACAGTATTAGACCCAATTTAAGCTCCTAGAATTGCCAAGATAGATTCAAGTTACGCTTTTCTCAGGCATGCAACATGGAAGACTTTCTTTGGCCTCTGAGTATAAAACAGAGAAAGAGAACGTGACGTTTTACAGAGCAGCCGCTTCACAACTTCCGAGCTTGCGACAAAGGTTCTTCAGGCTACAATAAATTGTTAAAACAAAAAAAAAAAACAATTCAGTAGCACTAAATGACTTCATGGTGGGTGCCAAAGATGTCCGCTTAAAGGGGTACTCCGACGATTTTTTTAGCAACCCCGACTAGCTATATTTTTGAAATCGCTCTCCTTTGCTCTTTCCGGGATGCTATTTAGTATCGCGAAATTGAGGATAGTTTTTGTGAAATCAGCAAATGAAAAGAACGCCAAACGAAGATTCGATTATACCTGCGCTTTTCATTGCCGTGACGTCAAAGGATGGCAGGCTTGCGGTTGGAGCGGGCAGTCTAAAATTGAACTATGCTGCGCATTTATTTGGAGCTGCTGCGCGGGAGCTGAGCGACCTTCCAAAGCATTCATTTGACACCATGAAACTGTTTGTAATCAGTTAGGAACAAAGTCTGCAGCCCAGAGAGTGAACCCCTGCCTTCCCATGACATCAGTTTTTCGATGTTGCCAGTAGAACTTTTCACTTTGAAAAGAACAAAAAAAAACAAAAAAAAACAATGAGGACCAAAAGTTTAAACTCTCTAACTTCACGAAAAAAAGTTATTTTGTCTAAATATTCGGGTTACTATTTCAACGATGTTTGTTGGTGTTTTAGCAAGTTTTTAGGCAAATCGGGGACTATAAAGAAAACGGCGGAGTACCCCTTTAAGTCCTAGACAGCCGACCTTCATGAGGAGGGTGTAGTAAAATATCAGCCGCAAAATACCGAATGTTTCAAAATAGAAGGGGTCACAATGAATTGAATATTATAATAGGCATAATAATGGAGAAAAAATTGGTGGCGACATTTGGCTTTAGATTGCTTTAATGCATAAAATTTAGTGTTAAAGAATGAGTGATTCAATTTTTTGGTAGATATTAAACTGAATTCGTGTGCCTCGTGACCAGGGATGGTGTAAGGGAGATTAGGCAAATCGGCACGGGAAGAGGGCACTGTGGGACGGTGAGGGAAGGGAGGGGCGAGGAATGGAGAAACAGAATTGAAGTGTCACATGAACCAGAAAGGAGCGGGAAAGGAAAGTGGGAGAGGGGAGAGGGGACCATAGGAGAATGGGGGAAAATGAGAAGAAAGAGGAGGGGGAACGATGGGAGGGGAAAAGAGAAAAGGCAGGGAAATTGCATGTTGATGAAGAGGGAGGGAAAAGGGAGGGGTAGAGATGGAAGAGAAGGTTGGGGATACAAAGGGATGAAAAATGGAGCAAAAATAATGGGAATAAAAAATGGCGTGTCACGTGACGTATATTCCCCTAGTGGATAAACTAAATTGTTGTAGTCAAATCCGTCTATAACGAACAACAGGAAATGCTACGATCAGTTCGATATAGCAAAAAAAAAAAACATTTACAACAAACTCCCACGATGCGTTCGTTGTAAAACGAGTGCTTCTCTTGCGGTATCATCTCTTCAACTCCACCTTGTAACAACGTGCTGTAAAGTTTTTTTCTTTCTTTTTTTTTGCATGCTTGCAGATTTTGTTGTTTTAGCTTATCTCTTTGAATTGCTTCTGTTCGTGGACAAACGATTTGAAATTATTTTTTGTTTTTTGTGTGTGAGTGCAGAGTGCACTTTAGCTTTCTCTCCTAATGAATCGCTTCTCTTCGATCAATATTGTTCGCGACTTGAGCCTTTGGAATTTTTTTTCTTTCCTACTTCTTTTTTAGGAAAAAGGACAGACTAGACAACGATTGTTCGCGCGTTTCTGGAAGGCTCCCCGGAGCGAAAAAGTTCAATATGGCCAATAGGTTGTTCGTTATAAAAAGTGATTTTTAGATGCATCTGTATTTAACTTTTTCGTGAATTCGATATCAACAATAATTCGCTGTACGTGGGTTCGTTCTAATCTGGTCTCACTGTATAGGTCACGCAACATGAGGTCCCGTGGGGTGGAATTTTCTAGCTAAATTTTGCAGGGAAACTGGATTTATGTTTACTGCACAAGATCAGTTTTCACAATAAATTTAGCATGAAAACTAAATTAACGTATAGGTCACCTGACGTCAAATGCTCCAGTTGATGTATGTATCACTTGACGCAACGTAACTTGGCGGCGATATTTTTTTACATTTAGCAAAACATTTTCGAACAGACAGACGAAATTTTGGAATTTGGGGTCCCGTGAAGAAGCATTTCTACCTGTAATATATTTTGTAAGAAATGTTTCACACACTTCGTATTTTAAAACGAAACTAACTGTATGAACTCACCTATACCCCACTCCGTTCACCATTAAGCTGACAGTGCGTGCAGTAAAAGCTACGTGCTAATTAGAGCAGTCACATTTGTCTCCCGCCACGTGAGAATGCCTCAGCCGGGCTCATACTTACGCACAACAAGGAAGGTCGGGCGGTTAATTGGTCAAGAGAACGCGTAGCTCACACGCACATGTTCAGCTTAGCGGCGAATAATGTATCGACCGTTTTTTGTTTCCAATGACTGCAGCTATGTTAAATTTTGACATAGCCGAGTTGTGGCAAAATAGCAAATCCCTTGATTTGCTATTTCGGTCTGTTCCAATAGTTCAGCTCTCTTATTGGTCATACATTTGTTTGTTGCCAAATCAGATGGGTGCACTGACCCGACCGTTCATACGAAATCCGTTCATCAGGGCGTTGGTCTGGTTGACCATGTCCTCTTGAAAGTTGCGCTTGAGCATCCTTCCTTTGGCCCGTGGTCCCGTCGCCGACGCCCTTGACACCTGGACGCCCCAGACCGAGATGGCCACGTACGAGTCCGACAGGTGCTCCACCAACTGCACAAGTCACACGAGGGACGGGGTGTCTTCAATTCCAGAAAACGCATTTTTATAGTAATTGGAAGTAATTGTACCTTTGATTACGGGTTTTATAAAGCGTTTGCACGAAACGCCTTTTAACGTCTTGTATGACGCGTTCCGCTATGTTAATGAGCCGCATCCGCCAATTTTTTTATTTGTTTGCTCACATACATTAAGTTATTGGTGTCGTGTTCGGCGCGGAGAGAACGCTCAATCAAATCTAGTGGATCCGTCGACGACAGACTCAGTAAGTACAATCGGAGACATATATGGGTAGCCTACATACAAGTTTATTTAAATTTGGCGGCATTTAAACAAGACTCCTTATGTAAAGTCATCAGTTATGCATGACCGGTAAGACGTTTGAAGCAGTCCAGTGGCGTTACGAAAGCATGCTTTGGGAACGGCTGCCTCCTGCGATTTCCACTGCGCTACTGCAATAGCGCTTCCATGCTAGATTTATTTATTTATTCTATTAATTTATGTATACTGCCGGAAGTTTTTACATAAACACCAAGGCAAAGGAATATGCGTGCAAAAAATTACAAAAACAAAACCTACCAATGCAACACAGGCCATCTAATTGACAAAAAAAGTGTCTGAGTAGCGCGTCGTTAAAAATGGTCAGTGATTCTGAATTGAGAGCACTTTCCCGGAGATTGTTCCATTCGCCTATTGTGTTAGGGAACAAGGACAAATTAAACAATGTGGTTCTACACAAAGGTTCGATGATTGTTAGTTCATGCTTATTTCGTGTAGAGCTAGCTTCGTTAATTGCGTAATAATCTTTCAGGCACAGTCGCAAATTATAATGAACAATGTTGTAAAAAATATTGGGCCGATCTATTTATCGCCGGGTCTCCAAATCATGCACTTTGTTTTCGGATATACAAGACAAAACAATAGCGATTGTGAGCAAGCTGTAATGCTTTTTTTGCACAGCCTCGATCACATCAGAAGAGATCTTGGGGTGGGGATCCCATTTAACATTAGCATATTGTAGCATAGTTCTAATTATAGATATATAAACAAACAATTTTGTTTTTTTCGTACAGTGACAAAGGTTGCGTTTTAAAAACAACAGTTTCTGCAAAGCTTTCAGGGCAATAAAGTTTTTTAGAGCGTTCCAGGTTAGGTCAGAAGTAATTAAAACACCAATATATCGAAACTCATCAAATGACACGATTGCTTCGGCATTGAACAAATATGTAAAAGACACTTGTGAACATCTTCGCGTCACAGACATTTCAACACGCTGCTTGAAATTCAATGCCATATTTCACTTAAAACACCATAAATCAATTAAAGCAAGACAGTGATTCAGCTCTAAATGATATGACAGTGTATGTGCACAAAAAATAGGTATCAGGGTTTCTTATGTAATCCCTAAGACGACTTGAACGCAAAAGCCCAAGCTCTGATGCATTAAAGACAGACACATGATTTACTTAATTCATTGATTCCTCTTAATTCGCTTCGTCATCTTTTTTAATATCATTGCATCTAATTAGCCTGAATGATCACGTAATTGTGATAGCGAACCTCCGAAGGACAGCCCGCTCTATGACGACGCAATTTTGGCCCCGTTTTATTGTCTCACTCGGATCGTGGCGTCGACTGTGGTCTGGCGATAGCGAACCTCCGAAGGCAGCGTGATCTTTGACGACGTACTTTTGGCGCTGTTTTATTGGTCCCGGTGGTAGCGAACTTCCAAAGACAGCGCGCTCTGTGACGACTTACTTTTGGTGTATTTTAGGACATTTCCTGTCGCCAACGCTTTCTCAAGGTCGACTGAACGATAAGACATATAGGACTTTCGACTTCATAAGAGACAATCGTCAGCAAAAAAGGGGATTCGCACAGATTGTTTATCTTCGAATCATTGATGAAGATTAAAAACAAGAGTGATCCCCTGGCAGACACGGGTACGTCCGAGGATACAGATGACTCAGGGAAAAAAATACCATCGGCAGTCACATACTGCCATCGATTAGTGAGTTAAGAGTCTAGCCAAGGTATTACATCCACATTACGGATCACACAGCCCAACTTATATAACAGTTTTTTTCTATGAGATACGGGATCAAAAGCTTCCGGAAAATCTAAATTTATCACGTCTGTCTGACCGCCCGCATCAATGACAGACGGAATTTGGTGTAAAATGTGTACTAGCAATCTCACAGTTAACATACCACGTCTAAAGCCATGCTGTTCATTCTGAAAAAAATAAAACTACTGTTCCCTAAAAACGCAATCAAAAGCTTGAAAATGAAATGCTTTAACACTTTCCTAGGCGTACACAAAAGTGGAATGCGTCGGTAGTTTTCGACATAGTGGTTGTCGCATCATTTATATACTGGTAAGACTCTTGCGGTTCTCCACTCGCTTGCTAGGTCACCTGTGATAAGACTATGATAGTAAATCAAGTGCAAAAATTTAGCCGACTATCAGCGTTCCTAGAAAAAACATTCGAAATATTGTCGGGGCCGCAGCTCTTCCTAATGTCAAGGTTAGGAAGAGCCGCAAAAATACCTTCCTCAGAAATGGTAATGTCCGGTATCGTTATGAGAGGAACCTCGCAACCCAGGATTGTCCCCTTGTCTGCGTGGACATAGACAAAAGAAAATAGTAATTAGAGTCTTTAATAAAAAGCTGATTTTATTTATAGTGAAGTCACAGAGTTTCATATTCATGATTTTTTTTTTTTTTCGTTTCAGAAACCTCTAGAACTTTGGGGGTTAGTACGTCAATAGTCGTGCATGGTAACGGTAAAAAAATTATGTTGCGTTTTCCACTGAACCTTTCAACTGCCTGTGCAGAATTGGTATTTAAAAAAGTATTATTCGCATTACGAAACTTGTGCTCGACGCACTTTACGTTTAAGGTAGAGGATGTCACGGTGGTTCACAAATTATATCTTTTATGTTTTTGACTCGCGTCGGAAGGAACCTCTTGGCGCTGTGAAGCACCAGTACTTTAAACCACGACCAGAAGTCATGCGCGTTACTGCTAGCTGCTTCAAACATATCATGAAATTCGGGACAGCTGTCTTCCAAAGTATCAAAGATATTGACATCATTAGCGCGAAGGAAGTCGTAGAACCTCCTTAAGTCAACGGTATCCAGTTGCTGACAAGCAGGCGAGAGAGAGAGTACAGGAAACAACAGAGCGGTCGGAAACACCTTCAACAATTTCGCAGCTGATAGACACCTTGCAGCCCGATCCTTAGGTGAAACAAAGACAAGCTCAAGAAAGCTTTTAGTTACATTAGTAACATGTGTAAAGCTTCGAACGACTTGAGTAGGGTTACATGAAAACGCGATGTCAATCAACAAGTGCGACTCTTGACATTCCCGCATAGGCTGCATTTCATTCGAATGAATGTGTAATAAATTAAAATCGCCCGCGACCACCACGTGCGTCTAGCCCTTCAAACGCGCGCAAAGAGATTCATGTAGTGCCCATAAGTGGGAAACAACGCAGTTAGGTAGATGATAAAACGCACGCACTATAATCGACAGTAATAAAAACCAAGCCATGCCCAGATCATTTGAGCGTCATTAATGCAGCTTAGACGAGAGTGTCTTATGCTGACTTCTACTGCGACGGCAACACCGCCGTCTCTCGATGGACGATTCTTACACAATATTGTGTAGCCGACTGGGATCACTTCGTCACTTCAACGGCCTTTGGCTCAACTTTGCTCAACGAGCACGGAGTCCTCGTTGAACCAAGTCTCAGTGGTAACTGCCACGTTTGAGTCGTACGTCAGAAAAACTGCTTCTAGTGCCGCCGCCTTGTTAAGCACACTAGTAGAAGTAAACTCAAAAACCTTAAGGGGAGGCTTGAGAAGGCGGCTCAGACGCGGTAATTTCCGACTGAGAGGTATGACTGCTTGACTTTAGAGTGCCAAGAATTAATCTGAACCATGATCTTTTAATTGGGCCACAGTTCTACGTCCAGAAGCTTCTCGAAGTCATTTTCCTTTATTCAAACACAAAAAGAAGAGTTGCTGTCATGCTTCGTGGGCAACAACAGTATCAGAAACATCTTCACATGTAGTTGAAGAACTCAAGCGAGAAACAAAGAGTGCTTTAATCCTAGGAGGCTTAGGAGCAGCAGATAGCTAACTGGCTGAGCCCGTTTTCACAAAAGGTTGGGACATTCGCCGAAATTGAGTCATAAGGTATCCATCGGGGTTTACGACCGGAGTTGTCTGGCCTGAGGTCACGCCCTGCATTCGCCCCTCGAAGCCATGGTTAGGACCCGGTGGCGGTTCCAACGGGTAGACCCCGCCGCTTTTAGGAGGCTGACGACGCTTCCATTGCTGCTTCTGATGCCCCGCGGCGTTCGAAGGAACTCTCAGCGCTCGAGCGTTTGCTTCCGGCTGTAGAAACTTCCTGTCCGGCAGAGATCAGGAGGCCTCGTAGATTGTTGGCGAGCCTGTGGTCGCCGGTTGGATGGCGGCACCGGGCTGCAGTAGTACTTCCGAGAAAGTAGCCAGTTGACCCTTCTGGTGAACGGTGCCAGAGGCTTTAGCAGCAAGGCATTTGCGAAGAACCTCGCTGTTCCACGTGAGCTGCACACGTATATAGACTCGGCACGCCGTAAAAATCATACTTCCTCAACGGGACCGCCAATGTTGTCGCAGAGCGCGAGGGTCGCAATTTTCCTGCGGCGCTTCTTCCGGAGGGTTGTCGTTTTTCGCGGCCAACGATGACTTCTCGATGTTCACGTTCGAAGTCTCCGGACTCTAGCATTTTGTACACGAGGCGCACTTAAAAGTGCTAACACCTTCCTTGACAAGTAGGTCGAGGTCGGTGTCACGTACGGTAACGTACTCGCTGTGAAAGCTGCGAACAGGACCTGCCTAAACGAATGATGAATCGCTGCCGAGACGTTAGGGCAGCGCAGCTTAAGCACACGTCCTTCACCGATGCCATATCGAAGCAAATGTGTTTGATTCCTCTGTGTTAGCGCCACTGCAAAGACCGGTGCCACCCTTCGCCTGCCCGGTAATTGCTCGCTTGTGCTAAAATAGGAAGGTATCTATTTTTTTGTAGTACCGAATCTACTGCTACATTTTCATTGGATTTTTATTTGTACAGGTACCCCCGCGGTCGAAATGAGTTGAAACACCCGATCCGGGATTTTTCTTTGTCTGCAGTGCTCAAAAGATCTATTACTTCTAAATTTGTCCGATAGTCCCAAATACCAGATCTCAACTTCATACTTCATTCGAAGGTCGTACCACAACTCTCTCAAAAACTGGTTGGTATGTGAAAGAAGCACGAAGGACTCCTTCAGTTCATCTTGTTGGCGATAGTACGTAGGTTATCTTGAAACGTTTACTCTGCGCTCAAACGCTATAATTGTTTTAACACTAATATTGAAAAAAAAAGACTCTTGAAAGTTTCAAGCTACCCAAATGACGAGAAACTAATTACTATGTCTTACAATTAAGTTGAGGAACAGATATTTCCCTTTTGATGGATCTAATTTTATGCCGCTGGTGTGAATTGGATATGATCGATGCAGCCATGCTTTCGTCCCGGTGTTCAAATGCTTTTCTTTGTTTGTTATTTTATATACAAATACGTGACACATAGTATAATAAAGCACTTGTGAGTTTCACAGGCTCTTAAAACGTAATAAATCGTGTAAGGCTTCAGTGAGTGAACGAACCTAAAAGGTATGGTTAAAATGCTAGATCATTTTCCAGACTTTAAATTCATTGCTTGTTCGTTTTGCGACGACATGCACAATGCTATGCGCGGTTCCTGTACAAACTCGAGTTTGATTGTCAGACGTTCCGTACCTCGGCTGTAGCTGGTTTGTAGGAAAATGTTCTTTGATGATTGAAGTCTGGATCCGATGTTCCAGACACGGCTTCAGTCACGGTGTCCTCTTGGTCTTGGAACATTCGATACTTGCACCTAATATCCTGCAACAATCCAGAAAATTATTTAGCAAGTACTGCCGTTTAGTCGACTTCAAGTTCTATTGCATTTGTGTTGTTGTAATAAATAACCGAATGAACCAACGAAAACAAAATGCATATCACTTGAAATATTGAAACTGTCTACACTTGTCAATATGTCGATAAGTGTGTTTATTATAACGCTATTATATGTGGCGTTTTGATCCCTTGGCCTAGTGGAACGTTATGAGATTTTGAGCTTGTGAAGTTCTTTAGCATATTTATACACTGTGGCACCATTTACCATTGTTTTCAAATGAAACATTGACACCTGCGAAAGTATGTTATGGGCTTATATTGTCCACATTATATTTTAGCCGTGTTTGAGTAGTTCTCTCTTCTCTGCTTTTGGCGTCAACATTTGTATTTCCTCAGCCTCGGGCTCTTAAAAATGTACAAAATATATCTGGAGCTTAATATGGATGCATCGCCCGTTAATAATCCGGAACAAATGAAAAATTAAAGTGTGCGTGTTGTTTGTTTTTGCGAAAGGATTAATGCTCAACGCTCAGGGACTCTCAAATTAGGCTCGTAATGTGCATGAAACCCATCCCGTGTTGCAGCCTTACTATAAGCCATCGCCACAATAATATCGATATTCAACTTTACCACTATATAGATATTTATATTAATTCACTGCAGGACGACTTTTGTGCCAACCTTCTATTTTCATGAACTTGGTTTCTTTCTCCACAACAAAGACTCATTTTTGTATTTGGTGTGCAAGCATATGGCTATTATTTTACCTAAACTTTCACAGAGCTTTTCAAGATCACGTAAATTGGAAAGCACCGGGCACAATATTTATTATATTCTAAATAAAACAATTTTTAATGGTTTTAGAACAATTTCTTCTTAATGTGTTTCAATATATAGTCTTATGTTAATCGAGACCTTCTGGTGTTCCCGACACGAACGAACAAATGATAAACGCCGGGGGTTTCTGCGATGAATTCTTAATCGTTCCTGAAAAAAAACGTGTTTTAGAAAAAGAAAACTTGTCTTAGGAACAACTTGACAGTAACCGCAGACGGCAGGGGTTAATAAATATTTTTCTTTATAAGTGAAATCTAAAAGCTTATGAGCGTCGTCAAGAAAACCTATGTCAGTCAATTTTAGGACGACTTAAAGCAGGGGAGAAGCTTGAGAGGCGCTGAACTTTCAATTCGAGCCGCAGGGAGGAAGCGCAAAGATAACGATATCATTCGCGTTTTCGTATCGTCGGCCTCGAGCCTGCCGAATGAGTGGTAACTTTAACAGACTTCCACGCTTCCCGCGTGCTTCAAGTCGTCTTAAAGTCGACCGTTATAACGCTTTTGATGACAATCAGCAAATTTCTATTAGGAACCTTACGTTCATTTTTAATACATAAGGAGTTAACTACACAATTGTAGGTAATTATTTGCCTAATTAGTAGGTTTCTTGCAATTCCGGAGGAATACCGAATTTCGCAGCCTGTTTCCGTAATAATTTTTTCCGCAACTATCCTAGTTTTAGGAATTTTTGCAAGTCTACTCAGAAACACCCGGTATTGTGATATTCAGTGTACATGCGCTTGTTAGAAGGTGGCCAGAATGCTCATGAAGAAGTAATATCTCCAACATATATTTCAATATTACACATGTTTTCCTATCTTTCACTTTACTTAAACAAGTGACCTCAGGTTTCAGAAGAGATTTAGCACAACTTCAATAAAAATATGGTATCTGTTGGAAAAATTTACTCGACAGTAAAAAGACCCTTAATTGATGAACTAATTAAATCTATATTTATAAACCAAATTATTAGGTTAAAAAATAAGTTGATAATTGCTTTTCTCGAACCTACTAAAGGCGAAAAATATAGTTCGAAATATATCACATCCTTAAAGCGCCGGTGCAACGATATTCATTTGAAATGTTTTTCGTTTTACACCAGCTTACTGGCACTGGTGGGACCCAAGTATACTTCTACGCAACGCCATTGACCAAGGAACCTCTTACTTGCCCTGTAATTTCAAGAATAAAACCGAGCGTTTTCTTGAAATCTCTACTTTGCAAAACTTGATGACGTAGCAGGGGAATCGTTGTATCCCCCAGTGACGATATTTGAATGCGGCTCGTAGATTGGACCCGAGCATTGCGTGAGCATTCGAGTTATGCTCGTGATAATCAATCGCTCGACACGCATTCGGGTAGTGGCTCATGTCCAATCACGGCAATGACGACAGTGGCCGAACCCTAACAAAGTCTGGAACTCAGCGCATGTCCTGTGCCTTGCCAACCCCAGCGCGTGGCTATGATCAACATTGGCGGCATATAGATCACGTTGCCGCTTGTTCTGGCTGCGAGTTAGGAGGTGAGCGCTGCTCGCTTTTCTTTAAAATTTTCTGCGACATTTATTTCGTGGGGAGAAAAACGAAAGCGTTCTTTATTGCTCTTAAACATCCGATAGCGTTCTAAGCGGTATTCGCGCAAAGTACAACAATTGCTGCACCGCCCATTTACCAAAAGCAAAAACAATGCATTTGCCAAAATGTATAAATTTTTGTTGATGCAGTCGGTTGCTATATCCGGCCTTGTCATGATTTCATAGGTTTGCCAACGAGAAAGGGCCAAATTAGTTTTTATATCTTTTTTTTATATTGACATGTCACTACCAATAACGTTTCCTAAATCTAGTGCTCTTACTGTCTCTCAAATACCTTAGCAAAAACTGAGAAATGCCATTTACAAGTTACTCGAAAGTAATTACCATTACTTTCAAAGTTTAATTGTCTTAATATATAGACAGCAATTAATGTTCTTTTTCCACATATACGCGTAGTTGCATTCTAAATAATGTATATACATAACACATAATTGATGTCTACAGCTTCAAACCGTGAATAATTTTTCGCCAGATATATAAAGTAGCTTATTGGAGAAGAGTCTCACTCATACTTATGAAAATATTTATGTTGAGTGGCATTGGTTCACACATTCAAATGGCACAACCTTTCTGGGCTTGTATTCAGTTACATATACTTAATATACAGGGTGTTAGATATTATTTCAAACACAATTGCTTAAAAAAAAGACATCCGTGAAAGGTACACTGATGCGGCTAGTGGAGGTGAGTTATGCGTCCAGAGGGACATAATATAGGGGATTATTCATCGCGTTGCGTCAAATAATTAACTAAAAATAATTAAATCACGTTTTGAATTCGTTATAAAAACACACTGTTTGAATTGGAAACTTTCGGAGCGTCATAAAAACCACTAAATCAGTCGACTTTAGTTGGTATTGAACTTGTAATATGCTGGGGAGCGCGAAATGTATCACGTGCGGCAGGAACAAGACTAGCAGTGCATAAACGCTGAACAAGATTTTTTTCTACGTTGTCGAACCGCTATCCTTGTGCCTGTTGCAGGACTGCTAACTGTGCCCCCCCCCCCCCCCCCCCCCAGAGCTTACGAAGAGCTTCAAGTACGTCTGAAATAGACTGATTGTAGGTTTTTGATTACGCTCAAAAAGCTTATATTTAAAACTTTGTGTTTATGTTTAATAATTAAAAGTTATTCACACATTTTTTTAAACTATATCCCAGGCCGTATGCCTCACCAGTAAAAACTGCATTAGTGCACCGGTCACGCATTTAAACATGCTGGAATCAAAAGCAAACACCCTGCATGTGGTAGTTTAGGTAAATTGTGTTGAGAAGCTCAACTACTTTAGTTGCTATTAAAAAAAAAGAGCTAAACAGGAACTGCCCCTAGTCATTTTTGTCTTTGGCGGCGTTTGGGTTCATTCAAGGAGTGCGCATCAAATCAACAAGGTGCCGATGACCCGCATCCGTTCTTTCTTTATTATTTGTTGTACCTTTTCTTAATCGTCATAACTGCTTGCTCTATGATTGGATTCACTGAAATACAACACATGTCACAAAGCAAGATTGCAAACATTCCTTTGCAATTAAAAAAGAATTTGGGAGGTGCTTGGTAATTCGAAAACATTACTTTGCCGCTTCTAGTCTCGCACTTTACCAAATGATTTTTGGAAGGGTGCATTCTGCCCACAGAAGAACCAATACAGCTTTTCAAATTCTGTGGCGCGTTTATAGGTCCTTGTGTCAAATATTTTTCTTATACTATTATTTTATACCTCCAGAGATGGTCCTCTTTTGTCAAAAATACCCTGTCTACGGAAGTGCCAATTAATAACCTCCAAACAAGAGAAAAAGGAATAAAATATTTTAATTCAGATAAGCTCATTGGGGCTATGTAGTACATTGCGAAATTATCTACTTATGAAGTAATCAAATAAATTATTGGTTACTGCCAAAAATATTGTAATGTTTCTTATTTTCGTGTCATAGTTTCCTAATGTCATGAGTGCGCGTAAAAAGTGGGGTGCAAATAGGTGGAATTACTTTGTCGAGTGAGCCCTGTAAGGAAATATACTTGCGTATGAGGCGATCTGGTTGGAGAATTTCAAAATCTGGGTCGTTTGACGCAGCTCCTGAAACCTTCCAACCAGATTACTTCATACGCATATGCATTTTTTTATAAGGCTCAGCTGTCGTTCGAGAAACACATTTCGCAGCATTTTTTACGTGATACAACTCACCGTGAACCTTTCCGGGATTGCTCGGCAGTGCACGATGCGCACGACGAAGTGCAGGTCTCGCCCCACGAGATCTCCGGGACTGTCGAGAAAGACGTTGTCCTCTTCGCTGTACTCACGTCCCGTCTCTGAGCAGGGAACCATCTCCACCTGACGAAAGTACATATTTGCATCGCTAACCACCTAATAAAAAACACTCCATACAAATCCACAAAAAAAGAAGCGCCAATCAAGTAGGAAGATGATGAAAAATATGTATTATTCTTTTGGCGTATATATTTAGGCAGTATTAAAATATTCTAGCATTTCGTGACATTTCAATAACTGTATGCTGAATTTCGGATGAACCTACCAAACGAATATTCTCAGGAACTGGAATTGATATGCTTGGGGTTTTTTAAGAACCTTTTGAACTCATAAGTTTATCCCAAGATCTCATATAGAAAAATAACATTGCTTATATTATTAAAGTTAGAGCTCAGAGAGTAACTGAAATTAGCAGGTGCATTACCATTTTACTACCTCTAAATCACAATCAAATGTTATTCACACTTGATAACATATACAATATATTAAACACTTAACAAGTACTTTAAAGCTATTTCTTCAATAGCCGCGTTGCTTACGCGCTGGAGAATACACTGTAGTCGGTGACAGGCAAAAGGTGAGGTGGAAGCTTCTACGACCCACCTCTTTCCACTTTAGCCGTGCGAACGCTGGAGAGGAGGTGTCTCTACTTAATATTAAGATGTGAGAAGAGCTTCCGCTTCATTCTTTACCTGCCACAAAGTATAGCTAGGAATGGGAAAAGGTTTGATTGCGTGATTTATATTGCTTATTGTAAAAAAAAAATATGTATTCTGCACCAAACTGTTTTATACAACCCTTAAAAACACTTGGAATATTTAATATTTACTAAGGCGCTATGAAATATAGCAGCAAGTTCAGGACTCTGGGACAGTAATCTCCTGTGCAAATTTTATCGCATCTCTATTTTTCACTTAAGTAATTATACGAATTTAGGATATCTCTATACTCACTACCTTGAGTGACATTTCTCATAACTGCGCAAAAAAAAATAAAGAAAGCAAAATATTTCGACCGTGACTACAATACTCATTTTTAAACCTTTATTGAACGGATTATCTGTGCCTCGTGCATTATTTTTTTCCTTCACCCCCGCGACGGGTTCGGTATTATTATATATATATTATTCATGGTATGATAAGTAGCGCTGACATTCTTACTTACATTGAGTATTCCAGCTTCTTCCCCTTTGAAGTTTACAATCTCCAGCTGTTCTTTCAGCTCTACCTAGAACCATAATAATAGGCGTCAGATGTCACTTTCATAATAGGACACTCATTTTCAAAGAAGATGGTGTTAGAAAAATTAAAAGATGGACATCTGTTGCTATGAAAAAAAAAGGTGAGATTACAGTTTTTTTGTATCTAATCAATATCTTTAAAAAAAGTGTGCCTATGTTTAATTTATTTTCACACCAACACCTGACAATCTTAAAGTCACAAACCATAGTTTGTGACCACTTTTGGATTGCTTTTCAACACCCAGGCATACTACTGTGTTAATCTGGACCAGGTATAACCTTTGCAGAATTTATCTATATACTCCTGATTTACAGGCTGTGTTCATGTTTTTGAACAACCGGACAAAACCCTGAAACATATATATATATATATATATATTTCCATGAGTAATCCGAACATCAGCGAACTGAGATCTCAAATATTTCAAAACAATCACTTTTAGGAATGTAAATCACAGTACAATGCGAATCACGTTTGAACTGAAATTATATTACAGACAGAAGGGCCACGCCATGTATATGTCATAGCTTAGTGCGCATGGCATGACCACCCCTTTTTACTCCGAAGGCCTCACGGATTGCAATATTGTAGTGTTATTAATTATTAGGCTGTTATTTTCAGTTAATGTAGTTTTAAAGTGATTTTGTTACTGCGAGATGTTTCTCATTGAAGTCTTCAGCTTTTTTAAACTTTATTATACACTAGTTTGAGCCGTTATGTCGGTTTTAAATGAATATTTCTAAAAAAACTATTATTCGTGAGAGTCACTCCATATTACGTAAGAGAAAACTGGACTCACTGTTAGGACGCATTGGTGATGTAGGTCACCAAGAGTGCATAAAAACTACATCTACTTGAAGTGTAGATCGCCTAACTAAATTGTAGTACGTCAAAGGTACATAATACCTTGGACGTTAATATATAGTCTAATCTCTTGACTTGAAGCTTTTTACCAGCTAGGACTGCCATTATATTAATCACAATATTTCTTGCGTTTTCTTTAAGGAACCATGTTTTTAACAATACCGTTTGAACTTAATAGAGCTGATATATTTTCAAAAACCTCAATTTTTTTTTTTTTTGCTGCTATGTAACGAATTTTTCGCTTCGCTGAAGAGCGTTTTGGTTATGTTAATAAGAACTTTATTCATTGGCAGAATGTCTGTATAAAATTTATCATTACTCGCTTCAGTAACTTATTTAATACAGAATGCAGAAGCGCTGAACAATGTATCTGCTTAAAAATTTAAAATTCATGAAACATATGCATATAAAAATTAATTAACTTTTCAAACTTCTTGTTGTCAATTTATCACAACTATTTCAAAGGCATTTGGCTTGTTTTCCTAGCGTAAAATTGGGATTCTTTTAACAGGTATAAGAAATCATCGCTTTTATTTCGTTCAAACGAATCAATAACTGAATTAGTATTAACAACCAACGTGGGCGCGAGTGACTTGTTTTCGTCTTATTCCACACAGGATATTGAGTCACACTTCTTTGGTTAGTATATAATAACTAAAGAGTGTAAATTTGATTTGACCTCCTGAAATTTGACTTAATTTGAGTAATTAAATAAAAAGATATATTAAATAAATAAGACCTGATAAAATAAAAAGACTTAATAAAATATAATACAAAATGAACGGTAAATGAAAGGTTAAGCTCAAATGTCATTTTATTCGAAGAGCCATTCAAACCCATGCCCTCAATAGGTCTATCTACAAGTATCATTGCTGACACTCCCGCCCAAAATACATGATCAACGAAGAAAATGTAGCACTTCAGACAAGTTGCTTATGAATTTTTGTAAGCATTTTGTGCATAAAGGCCTATCATCCGTAGTGCAGTTTATTTTTACTTCCTCCGTACTTACTATGTACGCCAGGGGTTGCAAATAGACTTGAACCGTGCCTATCCGTACTTCAGAGTAGGGATCTTCAAGAAAAGGGTCCCTCTCCTGAAAATCATGAGGAGTTAAAGAATGAAACGTAGAACAAAACACGTCTGACTTCTCGTTGCACATCGTAATTTTTGTTGCAATTATTCTACACGTGTCACCGTACGTTCACAAGTTTATAAAACAATTTCCGTCGTCAATTGTATTCGATTTTCCTTCACGCCTCGGTCTGATGTCTGACGACTACCGTCATCCATAATTGCCATCGATTCAATTGCAAAACGAAGAAACTGCGTCGGGGTTTACTTTTTATTCTGTCCTTGTAAACTTAAACAAGCATTGACAGGATTTTTTGTTTGTTTTTGTTTTAGACTGAGGTCGTTCTTTTGCCTCACTGAACATGCACGGCCAAAGTCAAATTTATTTGGAAAGCGTGACCACGCTGTAGCCTGGTGGCAGCCAGTGCGAGCTGTTTCTGTCACGGTGCCGGGCTCATCCAAGTTCGAGATACCCGCGCAGCTAAGGTCCGAGCGCGGCCTATGTTATTAGCCGAAGGGCCAATCAAACGGCGAAAGAGCCACAACGTCATGGCGTGCTTTCTGCAGTTGATAGGACCAGCCGGTATTCGTCGTTTCTCGTTGCGCGCTTCTGTGCCGGCTAGTTCTATAAAGCGCAGAGAGCGCGCCATGACTATGCGCTTTTTGCGCTGTATGATTGGCCCTTCGGCTAATAAGATAGGCCGCGCTCGGACCTTAGCTGAAACGAAGTATAGTAGGTTCAACATGCAGTAGCGCCACAAGAACGTCGAATAACTATTATAGAAAGCTTTCTCTGATGCTGCGTGTGTACTTTTCAAGATTCAGTTCCGTGCTGGCAGTTTAATAAAATAATTGATGTAGGTGCATTGGTGAAAGAATGCCTAATCTCAGTCACGCGTAAAAAAAAAAACGGATTATGACCTAACCTGTGCCACGGGACAATATTTCCAGGGAGAAAGCGGTGTTAGGAAACAAAATTTATGTTCATGTTACAGATGAAAGTCTATCGTAGGAAAACGGTCTAACCATAAATACGTTTTTATTATTTATTAACACAAATAAAAATCGGTTTATTGGTTGAATTTTATGGGATGAGGTGACGCTACGCTGCGACGAAAAAAACGGTCCACGCTGGATTAAGTAGTAGAGGTACGCATTAAAATTTCTAATACTTAAGATCAGAAAATGCATAAGGGCCCAAAGCATATAGAAGGCATAATTGGTCATAACAAAATCATACATGATCATGACTAGAAACGTAAAATCGAAACCAGAGCGATTCGCCTAGGGGCTCAGCGGGAACCGAAACCTGGACCATGGGATCCGCCCCTCGATATCCTTGCTGGGCTCCACAAGTAAGATGTCAACGAAAGCGCGCGCAACTGAACTAGGTATGACTTGCCGCCCACGGTCACCCGCAGTAGCACGGGACTGTCCGCAGCAGGTGATGCTTTGTCTAGTACACATAGCCGGCAGGTGCCCAGAGGCGAGCGATGATTACTCGAGCATGCTTATTTTGCAGGCTACAGGCGCTGGAGAGTTATGCCTATAGTCCAACATCCTACCTCCGCGGGGGACCGTCATTGGAGCGAGTCATACCTAGTCAAGATAGTTCACAGGTGACCTTGGTCGGCAAGTCACACTTAGTCCAGCATACTTAGTCCTTAGGGGACCGTTGGCAGTAATTCAAACTTAGTTCCGTATACTTCGTCCACCGGCAACTGTCAGCGGTGAATCAGGCTTAGTTCAGCAAATTTAACACGTAGGCGACCGTCGGTGGTGAGTCGTACTTAGTCCAATTTAATATATCCTTTCCGAAAGTGTGGACCATTGGACATCGGCCATCGCTTTGGGCATGTACTGCGTGCATGTATTGGGCACGAGGGCTGCTTCAGCGTTCGGCTTCAACTTTGCTCAGCTCGTAGAGAAAATCAATGCCGCGTCAGCGTTCGGCGAGAAACTCGAATTCGAACACGCGCTTTGTGTACAAGAAATTTCCACCTCTAACGTTGCACAGCCGAGCTTTAAAAACGGTAAATTGTAAATAAATCCGATCACAGTTGACGCTGCTATCTTTTGGAAACAAAGAGGGCAGAAAAAAATCGTCACGACGCACTTTTTTTTTTAGGGGGCGGGGGGGGGGGGGCGAGGGAGAGGGTTCCCTATCACCAAGTAAGCCAATTATGCAGTGAAAAAAAAACGCCTTAGCACGTCATTTTCATTGTGCGTGGTTGGTTTTGTCGGTGACGTCAAACGAACAAACGAACAAAGATTACGAATGCCGTGACGATGTACTCCTGTCACAGTTTGATTGGCTTCCTTGAACCGTAGCGTCGACTGCGGTTGGACTTCAAGCTGTACACAGACGGAAGGAGCCTGTCAGTTGACGAGTAGTACTCAGTCCAGCGAACTCTGTCCGCAGGCGACTGTGAGTGCACGCAACAGGTTCCAGACAAAGCGTAGCGCACCACGTGGACTCGCGACATCACGGAGTGAATCTGACGTACCAAGGGATTACGCATCGGGCGTATGAGGTCAGAAGTTCGTACAAAAGTATAATTCAAAAAGAGCGCGATAAATCTGCTTCCTTCGCCATTACTTCAGTCACGACATGGGGCTCCTTACAATCCAAGAGTACTAAGAATTCAAGGTCATACGCCTACCCACAAAAAGAGGCACAATCCATGAAAAACTTCCCATTAAAATAATTAAAAATGCTCGTGGCACACTCCTAAAGAAATTGAAGCGTTTCGGATATTCCGATAAACTCGGAGATCACAACAGTGTCGTGTAAGCCGCCTATTCAAGACCACCCAAAAGCTCCCAACAAACAAGCGTAGCAAATACCAACGCGTGCACGATACACGCACGACAGATTCGTTGCTTTTCTGTTTGACAAGAGTGATCGCGGCAAGTTTTATTTTTAATGCGAAAGCATTAACTGTCCCATGGAGCGAGCAGCGCTAAATGGCACATTAAATCCTTTCTCCTAGTGAAGCCAGCTCCCAGCTATGAAACTACGCGAAAAGCTAGCCAACAGCACCTAAGTTTCCCGATCCCAAAGGGGCGGAGTAAAGCTGATGTATTTCGGCTTGGGTCCCATTGGCTAGCGCGCGTCGAACAGGCTCACATTGGCCGCTGCGCGTCAGTTTCCACGACCGCTTACCCCATGGCGCTGCATGTCCGTCAGCGCGCCGTTAACACGGAGCGTCTAAGGTCAGTGCGCCCAGGAGAGCACGCGCGCTGACCGGCAAGGAAATGTACGCAGCAGACGAAATAAGGGAGCGAACGTGACGCTTGCATGCTTTCGCATACACAACTCACAAGAAGTGCTTAGGTGTACCTCTAGCCTTTTTATGTTTACTTTTCACAAAAACCACGCTTTTAGAGCGCAGTTCTTAGGTGCCCGTTTCCGGCTTGAGCGGCGTCGCCGTCGGCGTAGCTAAGGTCACCCCAAGGTCACGTGACCCCTCCCAAGGTCACGTGACCCCCCAAGGTCAATTGACCCTCAAGGTCACGTGACCCCCCAAGGTCACGTGACGCCCCAGGTCACGTGACGCCCCGAGGTCACGTGGCCCCCCTCCCCGAGGTCACGTGACCTCCCACCCTTCCTGCCTTGAAGTCACGCGACACACCCCCCGAGGTCAGGTGACCCCCCCCGGAGCATATTAAAGAATGAGGGGAGGAGGATGAGAAGGAGGAGGAGGAGGAGGGGTCTACCCTCCCCTCAGTACCCTTCCCTCCTCCTCAAGAGCTGCGCTCCAATTCGGCGTTACAGGAAGTTGTAAACGGCTTTCACTTTTTTTTTACACTTAATACGAGCGCAGTCAAGGTCTAGGCTGCATGGAAACATGATTGCAGAAATTGAGATCGTCAGGTTATGGCACGTTCGTTAGTGAGATTTGGTATTGCTTATACTAGCAAACGCAAACACTGTGCGTTTACGTTTGCGTTGCGTGTTTAATAGTGTGTGCGCAAGAGCCCGAACTGCGTCTTGGACTGGCGCATATATGGTGACGATACGCACGAACAGCGTGGAGCAGGCAACGCTAACGCAACACTAAAACTTTCTATTGGGGTTGATTGACTCATCAAGCGACGGCAAACAAAGGGAAAGACGACTCAAGTTGTGATGGTCTTCTTTTAGCGTTGAGTGATTGGCTACATCGACTCGTAGCGTTATTTGCACAATACTTATTGGAAGACGAAGTATTGTGGCAAAATAAAAATCTAGCAAAAATACATAAAACAAACAAAATAGTGCTCTTTTTGCGTCATAGAAATATTTGAGGAGCTGCCGCACTCACGCACGCAGTATGATCTGCCCGGCGACACGTGATCAATCTCTTAGTTTCCCCGGCTGCCGCCAGGATAGCTCCCCGCGAAAAAAAAAAAAAAGAAACGCGCAGCGGCACGCTTTGATCAAATTTCGTTGTGATTGTGTCCGTGTGCATTCTTTAGACGAAAGTACGTCGAATGATTTTCACCTGTATTTTAGTTCTCAAACATATCATGCGTTTATGGGTTTTCGGCGCACGGGGAATATTACATGTTGCATGTGCATTGAATATGATAAGACTACCGATGGAACAGGATCGGAAACACATTAACTTTTTCCCTACATGCGCTTCTGAATCATTTTTACCTCTTCCACTTCCCAGCTTTCGCCGCACGCGTAGTTCTGGTACATCTCCTTCATGGCAAATGCGCGGTTCAGGAATTTTTCCTTGGTCCAGTCGAATTCTTGGCCGTTTCTTGAATTTCTTACTTTGACGAACACCTGAAAATATAGACGCGCGTGCCCTGTAAATATGGCCATCATCGCAGAAATGAAGTGGCGTTTTATTTCACACATTTCACTTCAGAAGAAAAAGTAGCGGCACTTCATTTCGCTCTCTCTTGCACAGTACTATAAGGGGTTACTGCAACCACTTTTTGCTCTTTTTTTTTTTAACCTGCACTGAACCTGAGCGGACTGAACGTAGTAACTTAGTGAAATTTTTCTTTTCTCGAAATTCGCTTTATTTTGAAAGTTATGGGCCCATTAAAATTAAAAAAAAAAAACAAGCAAAAAAATGACATCCTTCAAAACGTCCTTGGTCCTCGGTCGCCCCTTTTCCCGCGCCCACGGACCGCGGTAACTGAGGAATGTGTGGAGGCAGGAGGATGACGGGAAAGGAGGTGAGGCCTAGTAGAGAGAGCTGACCAGGAACGGAGCAGCTCTCTCTCCTCGGCTGACCAGGACCAACAACGTCACGATTTCATCACTTGCCGCGCGCGCTCGACACCACGGGGCGCCCTTGTAGAAGGAGGAGGTTTCCGCGTCGTCTGGTTAAAATATGACGCATTGACATTTATTTACTCTCTCCTTGCCCGCTGGGTTGTGCGAAGCCCAAGAAATGTTGGAACCGCAAAAAAGCTAGACGCTTAAACAGGATTGCAGGGCACTTTGAACTGAACAAATCACTAACACAACCAAATTGCAATTTGAAAATTTTGGTGGCGTTTGCACGTTTCGCCAGCGATGAGAAATAAAGAAAGGTATAGTGGTCTTATTGCGTTGAAGATAGCCTACACTTTTTGCTATAATTCAGGTCATATTTATCCTTGTATTTCTGTAGAATAGGCCTAAGTAGAACTACCTTATTGCGAGAAATTAAAAGTTCCCGGTCAGTCTACACATTCCTTTTGCACCAGCTGTTCAGTTCGCGAATTACTTTGTTTATGAAGACAGAGTACAACCGGGCAGTTTACAAACGAACTTCACTCTATAAGCGTTTGGCTTACCACACATATTCTTTTCAGATCATTAGCTATAAGTATAACTAGGCACTCATCTTCCCACTTATCGACAACGATACAGTTTTAAAAAAACAAGCACTTTCTTCTTTACTTAAAAAGTAGAAGATGACATTTTGAGCTGATTTTATTATCAGCCATTTAACTGGGTGTGATCAATAAACTTTAAACAGGGTGTCATTACCTGACATCACTTTCATGATTTGGAAAATATTAATAGCTGAATTTCAATAGAAAAAGTTTTATAAGGAACCTTTCAAGTTAGAGTCTAGTCAGCATTTGAAGTCGCACATGAAATACTGCTACCTCAATATTGCCCGGCGCCAAGATGGCCAGAAACGCGGACCGATGGTACGTGAAGAGCTATGCCATTAATATAAGTGCGTGACGGTGCGCAATCTGATCGACGATTCACATCCTACACTAATCTTTCGGGCTGAGCTGAAAAGAAAGAGAAAGAAGAGGTTTCCTGAACGTGGCGGGAAACATATTGTGTTGTGATATAAAGTCCTGACATATTTGGTGGAGGTGAAGGTGGAGGTTCGAGAGCAGCACAGATCTCCGTCGATGAGACGTCACGGGTCTTCAGGTCGTCGGTACTCCCCTGACGTTTTTAGAAGTCGGTCGCCAAGCCCGCACCGGGGAAACTAAAGCTGGCGACTTGAGGGGGTAAAGTTGCCCACCGTCGAATCTGAGAAGACCGCCTAATGACTCAAGACGTGCAACCGCGTAGCGACGATAAAGTAACTACCTTCAACCTCACTTTACTTATCGGCGGCTACAAAAAAACTCCGCTAGTTGACATGGGCGGCGATTATTCTGTGTTAAAAAAATGCTGAACCAAACATTTCAGTGTCCATAATAAATGGCGCACGATCTTTCCGCAAGCGAGCTGCCGCCGGTGTGCACAACAACACGCAACGAAATTGACGTCATAGTCCTCCATACGCGCTAAAGTTGACAGTGAAATGTGTGGGCTCCGGGGAAAAGAAGAATGAAGACAGTATAGTGGCAATTTAAGCTAGTTGGTACATCACTAATATTAAACAGCGCACAAAACATCGGCGGAAGAGAAAGGGACACTAGAACGAAAGAGCACTGACTCCCAACTGATTTATTTAGAAGGAAGGGGAAAGGAGGAAAAAGAAGCCAAGAAATTTAACCCCACGTGAAGACAAGGTATAAGAAAAAGAAAACAAAAAAAGGCAGAAAATATGCACAGACTAGATCCACCGATTTAAGAAAAAGAAGATAAGAATTGAAAAAAAAGAAAAAAAGCGAAATAGAAAAATTAGGAAACGGTACTTTCACCCTTGGCCGGCCAAAGTTACTGGGCATAGGCGTTAGCCAAAGAAGACACCTCCTTAGCACTCAGCAACAAGGACGGCTTGCTGACGCATTGCTGTCCTTTTTTTGCTCCTATACGAACAGCCTCGTAGATCTGTCGAGTAGTCATGTCTTGAAATCTCCCAAGAACACTTGTTTCACCAAAAGTTGGTGTGTACTGGCAGGGGCGACATTGTGTAGGCAAGTGCCCGCCTTCCGTGGCTTGAAGTGAATAGGAAAGTTCTCTAAGCCGGTCGTTGACGCATCGTTCAGTTTGTCCTATATAGTATCTACCACACGATCTCTTTTGTTCTACTGTCCTTCTCTTCCGCTGACGTTTTGTGCGCTGTTCAATATTAATAAGGACAGGCTAATCTTCTACACACTGTAGTCTCGTGTAAAAGGAAGACAATTAATTCGTCTAAGAAGCACCTATAGCTTTAACTTCCGGAGATGAAAGGCCTGTTTTTATTCTTGTTCTGCCCGGAGCCCACATATTTTAATGTCATCTTCATCATGAATGCAGGAATATGATGTTAATTTAGTTGCTTGGTGCTCGCGCACACCGCTGGCTGCTGGTTCGCAGAATGAATGCGCGCCACATATTTGAGACAACAAAATGTTTGGTTCAGTAACCTTTAATTAAGTGGGGGTCTCGCCGCTCGAATGAAGAAAGTTGACAATCTGGGAAGAATCACAGATCTGGAAAATGTGAGCTCATTTGCTTACGTCGGTTGGGAAGTATACAATAAGAATCAAAATACAAGAAATCACGTACATTTCCAGCTTCGTCGTGCTCGAGACGTGTTCTAGGGAAGTAATATTCGGATTGAACTACCTCGGAGAGAACGGCGCTGATATATGCCTGCATGGGCAAATAGCCTGCTTTTCGATTGAAGGTTGCATCAAAAAGGAGGAAATAACAGTACGGCTTGCTCAACGTTCTGTAGAGTACTATCCAGATTGCTTCCCCCTTTGAGCCAGCATGCTTGTAACTGTAAAAAAACCGACGAACTCACAATCCTCCGGAATTGCCGAGGAAACTACCTTCCCTCTACTAAAGCGGGTGATTCGCATAGCCCGTGGTCTCGTTCAGCCTTGCTACGGCCAGACTGAACTGTATATAATTTTTTGCGCAGAGCACCAGCACATTTCCCCCTGAAACTGCAGTTGCTTATCTCGAAGGCATCGCCGACATCAGTGAGTCCTTTGCTTTAAAAGCTTCACCATCAGTAAAAAAAAAAAAAAAAAAAAAAAAAAAAACTCGAGAAAAAACTTTTGGCATCTGCCATGAGCTACTAAAAGTGGAAAACGGACAACTGCTAGATATTTTTGCTTACGTAATAAGACTGCCTCTCGCCGTCACCAAAAGTGCGCAGAACGACTGTCGCCAAGCACCAAATCATCCCGCATCAAGCAACTGCACCGAAACTACAGCCGGCTTAAGGGGTCTCGCATCAAACACGAAAAACGACCCGACAACAGGTCTAAAATACGGTCACTGATAACGTTATACACCCGTCCAAAGTGCCGGGTCCTCATTTGTCCTACTTTTAAGTAAAGGAGATGGCAAGTTACGGTTCTCCGAAGACTACAGAAAGCTCAACACAGTCACCATGAAAGATACGTACCCGCTAGCACGCATCGATGATACGCTCCAATGGCCATGCAACTCGAAGCACTTCACTTTTATGGATTTCAAAACAAACTACTGGTTGATTTAATTTGATGAAAGAGGCCAATTGAAGACCGCGTTCTTTACACCAGACGGTTTTTATGAGTTTAAGGCTCTTCCATTTAGACTATGCTCGGCGCTGGCCACATTTCTTGAGAGGTAAACATGCCTGCTGTACTTGGACACTAACAACAACATGAAGTGGAAGTATGCCTGGTGTACTTGTAATAATAATTGTGTTTAGACAGCCGGATGTTGATAAGCCCCAATGGACTTCTAGTGTCTCAGCTGTAGATGAGCAATTTAGCCAGTGCAGTACAATCGCTAACCTGGAGTCTTTAAGGTGCATCACGTAGTAGTTATATACGACCGCGCGCCGGTACGATGCGCACCAAGATCGATATGGGCAAGGCTGGGGATTGAGCCCAGGATCCCTGGGTTCTGCAGCGCTAGATTTCGCTCCACGTGCTTCGAGCTGGTGTGCACTAGCCCACCTGGCCACCGATTTTCTTGGTGCACATGGACGATGTTGTATTATTATCCAGAAGCTTTGAGGAGCATCTGAGCCGAGTAGAGGCCGGAGTAGAAGCCACCAGAGCCGCTGGTCCGGAAAAGTGCCACTTTGCGTACAAAGATTTTAAATTTCTCGGCAACATCGTGAGTGCAAATGGCGTTCTCTCTGACCTCAAGAGGATTTGTTGTCTTGCGTGGTTCTCTCCATTCACAAACAAGAAGGCCGTATGAGAGTTTCTTGGAGTGTATACTTATTATATGCCTTTGTAGAGCAATTTCCCAAAATCACCGAACCACTCTCTTGACCCATGCGGGATGACGTTTTGCTTTCGTGAATGGAAGAGCAGCAGAATCCTCTCTAAGTGCTCCCCGGTCGCCTACAGTCGTCACCAGTTCTGTCGCATTATGATGAAATCACTGAGACCTAAATCCGCACTGATGCCTGCGACGTTGGCCATAGGCACATT